ACATTAATTTCCTTTATAATTTTCTAACCTATTAGCTTTATATTATATCATATTTAAGTAATATCTATAAGCAATTATTTATAATCTTCTTCATCATTTGAAAAGAAGGTATACTTATTTTCTTAAGAAAACATGTCAACGAAAAGTAAGCGTAAGGTAAAACTAAGGTATTTTACTTTTTTAATTGCATATATATTATCATGGTTTATTCGAGGATTAATTGGGTGGGACATGAAGCTTCACTAAATATATGAGTTTATACAGCCTAATATGATTGATATAATTTGAGAGCCGATCCATCTATGAACATTTCATATAATTGCACAATAATATTTTTGAAATGTGATGTAACATTTATACACATATATTTTTTTCTTATATAAGATAGATCTAACTATTAGAAATAGTGATTCCACCGGTTTAAAAGGCATATGAGTATTCCAGAAATATAGCTTAAAATTATGGTTGTTTTAATATCCAATATAATTGCGAAGTAAATGTAACTCAACTGGTTAGGTTCATTGTGATGGAATTTGCCCACTTGGGTTCATGTCCTAGACTTGGACAAATTATTTCAGTAGTAGGTGACGTACCCGTTGACAGCGAGAAGTACGTAGTGACTTTGTCAATCTAAAAATATGTCAGCCTAGTCTCTCGAAAGTACTCATAGGGTATGTGCATGTGTGAGTTCATAGAGCTGAGTGTGCGCGTTGTGAGCAACCGCGTTTGTACTTTGTTTTTAAAAAAATATCAAACATTATTTAAAAAAAAAGATAAAACAATATGGAGGGGACGACACTATTGTGTAGATGTGAGAGCGAGGAGGAGGTAGAGATTTTATTTTTTCTAATTTTTCTAAATGATTTAAGTGAAAGCCGATGACAGGGTGCTTCATTTTTTTCTAAGAATTTCCAAGGATTATCCCTTTTTTATAGGACGTGCCCCATGGTAACTTAAGATTTTATTTAAAAAATAGATCTAATAGTTAAAAATAATAGACACACCAATTTAATTGAATTAAATTTAATCTAGCACCTCGTAAGTCAATTTAATTGAATTAAATTTAATCTAGCACCTCGTAAGTCCAGCCACGTGTTGCTCGGTGATTTGCAGTCAGTGTACGTTATGTTCATTTTTGTTTCTTTTCGTGCAAAAAAGGCTATTGGTTACTCCCTGTGTCAAAAAAAAATAGAGATAAATATGGACAAATTCACATTTATCCATATCTTAACTATTTGAAAATTAGTAACTTCCAATCGTCACAATAATTTTTTGCCCGTCAATCCAACCAAGCGGCACCCTCCATCCATATATGCACAATTACATCCCATACGATGCCCAAAGAAAAAATAAACAAAGTTCGATTCAAAATAAGCTAAAAATTAAACCAACGGACTCTGAATCAAACTCAATAGAATTAGCTGGGAGGATCCACATGATTAAAAGCTGGAAACCAACGGAATCGAGCAAATCACAAAGCAATACGTCATATCTGACCGGCGACAAGCTCTCGTCCGACAAGAGGATTGGCGGTTGTGGCGGACGAAGATGGAGACGAGAGGTGAGCTCCAACGGCTCAAGACACGCCGTCGCTGAGGGTGCTCCGCCGACCCGTAGGACACTGCTGCATCGGAAGTAGCGGATGGCGCCGCCGCGGCGGATTGCGGTGGGGAAGGCTTTGACCGCCGCCGCTCACGGTGGGGGAGACGGCGGGGGGGCTCCGTGTTAGGGGCAATCTCACCATTTCAAAAAAAATTCTCACCTCTTTCGACCTAAAAATTATAAAATATTGTCTCTGGTGTCCTATAGCCAATTACACAATTTTTTAGTATTCATCAGCCATGTTACGTTTTTGCGGTGTCTCCTAGCCAATTTACACGTTTTTTGGTTGTCCTGTATCAAATTTTGTCTTTTTCTTATAATATTAGGACATATTATATGGCGATTTGTGAGCGCTCTAGAGGGCTTTTATTGATTTTTGTTACGTTAAGTGATTTAGTATAACATAATACATATGTTCGATTAATTTTTCGTTGTTATTTAGTTGCCATTCAAACGATAGGGTCTACCATCAAATGATGTATTTTAACTTTTTATAGTAAAATATAGCTAATGTTATCTTGATTTATATTATTAATTATAAATAAAACAATAGTTATATTATGTTAGTTAAAAAAAGAAGAGGAGATAATTGAATTGGAGAGGAGATGATGGGTGAGTTAGAGGTATAAGTAAGGCACGAGGATTAAATAGTTATCTATTTTTATAAAAACATACTTCCTCCGTTCCAAAAAAAAAAGACCAATCCTATCATCCCAATGTAAAATTAGTGGGGAGTAAAAATACCCAAAATAGCCCTCATTATTAGAGAGGAGATGATGGGTGAGTTACGTAAGGCAAGAGGATTAACTTAGATTGAATGGGTCATTGTTTTGAGTTATCTATTTTTATAAAAACATACTCCCTTCGTCCCAAAAAAAAGACCAATCCTAGCATCCCAATGTAAATTAGTGGGGAGTAAAAATGCCTGAAATAGCCCTCATTATTGGAAAAAGTAGTAGTGGTGATAGATAGGTAAAGGGTATTTAAGGAATAAAATTTCTCGTCTTATGTGCTGAGGGTTGATACTACGGTAGAAGTTTATTTTTGGTGGATAAAATTCAAACTCCAGAAGTTGAGTTTTTTTTTTGGGACGGAGGGAGTATAGTCTTAGATCTATTAGAAAATACTTTGTGTGCTATACTTTTTAATTAAACTACTTTGTTTAAAATTGTTCTAATTTAAGTGTATGTTATTAATCAGAATATTTAAAAATCTATATATATATATATATATATATATATATATATCTTAAAAATGTATGGATCAATCAAAGACAATAGTTATTAGAATATATATGACCCAGAGTAATAATTTTTTAATAATATAGTTAACTTGGATCTTCAATTATATGTTTTATACTAAATAATCTAATGGTGTGCACCAATAAAAAGTTAGCTATATGATTTAGATTATATAATTGTCTAAATTTTTTTTATCCTAAAATATTTTTTCCATCTAAAAAAATGAGAAAATAGAAGAGAAAGGAAATAGGTGGAGAACTACGTGTGCACAATGGGTCCACCATATATTAGTGAAAATCGACAACCGGATGTTTTGTTTATTCTTGTAATTTTTGTGATTTTTCTAATTTATTAAAATGTCACGTGGTGGTGTAGGAGCATTTGTAAAAGTACTACGTGGTGGCTTAATAGCGATTATATGATATTTAATGGACAAAGCTCTAAATATGCGTCAATGTGATAGTTTTTAAATAAAAATATAGTTAATATCAAATGTAGTCATAATATTTTCCCATATACATCTATTTATTATTTAGATAAGTTTATTAGGGAACGGGTGAATGTTGATTTTATGTATAAAGATTCGAGGAGTGAAGGATGGTGCGTAGTTTGTACATACCCAGGAGAATTTTATTTCTCAATCCGGTGAATAGTAGGTAGTACGTATTATACATTTGAGATTTTTTTTCACTTTTTTTTGGGTGAACAGTACGTATGTACGTGTTACTCGTAACAATTTGGTGGGACCATGGCAGGGCTAACCCTTCTTTTTTTCAATCATAATCACATTTTTTTCCTTTTTTTCAGTGAGTAGCAAAGTACGGAAGTACGTATTTATACGTGCAACTATACACGCGATTTTTATTCGAGCAGGTTACGTAGGCTGTATTTTAAATAAATCTAATCTAATAGTTTAAAAATAGTGGGTCCACCAATAAAAATGATTGGATGTTTTTTCTCACAATTTGCAAGATTTTGTCTAATTTATTAGAGCACCATGTGGTGGCGTAGAAGCATTCGTATGAGCACCACATGGCTATTTAGAAGCGTTTGTAGTAAGTTTAATAAGTCTCTAACGTTACCTATTGTATGTCGACCCGATGTGCCATGATGTATTTTGAACCACAACATTACTTTTATACCGCGATACTTTGTATAATTAAACGAATACAATCGATTGGCATATAATTAAAAATAATTTAAAAGATAATGTTTAGAGACAGTTAATTTGATATTTGATATTATTATAGATCATATACTTCCGTATATTATGTAATATTATATTTTATATTATACAAAATCCCAACTACACATTGTTTTGGCTTTATCATTTTTCATCGTACGTAGATGTTTATTATTTTTTTCTTCCGCCTAACGGGGTAGGAAGCTCTATTTGTTTTTTCTTTAATTATACTTGCGTACGGACATTTAATTTTCTTTCTTTTTTTTACATTAGTTTTCTTTCCTTTTCCCAGCCACCAGTTGTATATTTTTTTAGGAAAAACTATCACATTTTTAATAATAGATCTAATCTAATGGTATAAATTAACGGGTCCACCAATTTAAGTGAAAATCGACGGTGAGATTAGATAGTGCCATATGGCGGCATAGGAGTGTTTGTAGGAGCGCCACGTGGCGGTTTAGGAGCTTTTGTAGGAATTTAATGGACTTTTAGTATATATAATAATAGATAGAAGATAGATAGATAGATAGATAGATAATAGATTGGAGGCACTGCTAGGCTTACGAAGTGGTAATTTCACTGACTTTTGAATGTACGTTCCAATTAATCTTTGCACAGTTATTTGCTATGCATAGAGTAAGAATAAAATGAAGAAAGTTCCCAACAATCGTCGATTACTGTTTAGGCCAACGAGAACAGGGAGAGGGGGGGGGGTGGGGGGTCATGTTGGATAATAAGGCCATCTCTTGTAATTTTGATGTTCTCCTTCACTTTCACGTTTTAGTTGGTAATCAATTTTAACCATTCCTCCTAGATTTCCATACGTCACAATCACTTATGTCTTATGTTGAACTATTGATTAACAAATTGGCTCTGTTTATGTGCAAACTATGCCAAGAGTCAAGAGATCTGACTATCTGAGTGCATTTTTTGGTGAGGGATAGACCACAACACACCACATCGTAAGACATAACTGATCAATTTTGTTTATATATATTTCTTACTTTCAGTACAGATCATTTTTCTTCTTTGTAGAATACCACATGACCGTGCCGGATATATTTACAGCGATTAGCAGAAGCTGGCAAACTTCTACTAACTTGGATTCCATATGACCGATCTGCTGCCTAACATTTTGCATGACCTTTGGTTCGATGGAAGGGGATGGCGTCTCGGACATCCTTGAGGCCGGTGACAAATAAGATGAGGCTCTCCAAGTCTATGCTGAAACCAGAGTGCTTTACAGTGCCATGTCTGCGTGTGTCCAAATACCATTCCAGCTGCTCAACCTGCAGCCCTGACTCCTCAATCCTGCAGTAGTTAAGATGGAAGTCAGATGCCTTCCTGTGCATGGTAAGTTCATCAAATTGCAGCTAATAGTTGTTTATATATTTTTTGCAGATGTAATTTGATGTTTTTAACCAAAAACATGCGACTTCTTTAAACCATGTTGGGCCCAAACTCCACTTGTTGTCAGTTTCCTTGAGGATTTCATTTACTACATCAACTAATTAAGGTTCGAGCAATTAAAGATTACCTTGAGGTTAAATTATCCATCCTTTCCTCCTTCTGAGCTCCACATGCTACGATGCCAACCTGAATGAGTGACAGAACAATTAGTATTCAACATGAACACCGTGTTGAAATGCTTGAATTGAGATTTTTTTTCCCCTCCTCTAATTGACATGTTTTCTTAACCTTTGGCACAACTAAGTCAAAGGCAGAGACTGTCTTCAGGTCTTCCTTCAGGCGTGCATAAAATGGCTTTAGCTGTTTCGGGTAATCATATATGATTACTGGCTTCTTGTATAAATCATCAGCCAGATAACTGCCATTGTTTTTCATGCGCAATTATATTAGAAGTTAGAATAGAACCTTTCAAATGGCAAAAGTACTTTTGAGAGCCCTTCAGTACCTCAGATGCACACGAGACAGTGGCATGCCCAACTCAAGTTTCGATTCAAAAGTTTTATCCGTGACCTGATGACAATGAACAAATTTATTACCATACATATTACATAACAGTGTAGAACTGCGTTGTAATTGCAGGTGCAGCATGAATACTATACGTACCTGAAGAAGAGTATTGACAGCTTCAGTGTACTTAATCTTTTGCCAGGGGCTTGACACTGCAGCTTCAATAACGCTACTAGTGGCATCACCTGCCTGATTGGACGACAGAAACTTCAGCTCATCTGAACAATCTTTCGACACCGTGCTGCAGAGTGACTTCACACAATCCTCGGCGCAGGAGATTGCATCCTGAAACGAAAGATGATCTAAGCTAGTTCTGAAGAATTCTGTAGTTTAAATGTGAAATCCATCATACCTCAAGCTCGGCGAAAGCGAGCTCGACATCGACTGTCCACCTCTCAGCCAGAGACCTGTCTGAATCCAAGCTCTCACTCTCAGCCTGGAACACCGGGCTGAATGTGTAGACGCTGCTGAGTGCACAGGCGTATGTCTCGAGATGAAGTGTATGGCAAGGTGTCAGGTAGGCTGGGCGGTGAAAGAACTCATCTTGGGAGGACTCTGCACTTGCTCCTTGCTCGAGCTGCCTTGAAAGAGCATTTGCCCTCTGAAGATCCTGCTCTGCAGCTTCGAGGGCTTCTTTGTTGCTTTCGCTTCTCTTTAGTGCTTCAACTTGTTTCGTCTTCTCCTTGATGGCAGCCCTGACAGCTTCAGGTGTGATCCTATTGCCATTGTCTGATTTGCTGAAAAGGCGGGTTAATCGTAACATTTTGCCGCGGTTTCCTGCACTGGTTGCTGTTGTTGTTGTTATCGTGGGTGTATTCACATGGAAGAATCCGTTGGATTGGAAAAATGCGTGGACAGCATGGACCAATTCACTCCGTACACGAGCAGTTGATGCAACCTGCAAAACAAATATGCAAAAATGTGTAACAGTGTACGGCTCATTTTATGAAGCAAAGAACACAAGACATGACTGACCAAACCAATGATAATGATCAAGACTTGAATCTGATAAGTTCATCAGGAGTCATCCTCTTACCGTCGCTGTACGAGCAGCGAGATGCGGGTAGCCCCTGACAAGATCCGGAGATGAATGAGCATTCGACCTAGGGTACTTCTCTGAATCCACAGGACCAATGTGCAGAATCTTCTCCACCTTCATCTGCACAACATACTGCGGCAATGTCCCTTCCACCTGCTCTATCTTGCCTTCCACAAGAACACAAGCTCCAGTAGCGGTGATTTGATCAAGAGGCAACAGTGCAGAGTCCACAACTATCTGAACAAAAGAAAAGAAGCACAGTAGATTTGCTATGTTACAGCAGCAAAATGATTCAACAAGTAGGATGCCATGGCCATGAGATAGAGTGATCAATGACCTGGAGATCAGCCACGCAGGAGCCGTCGTTGATGCGCACCAGCGCCGTGCCGACGGCCGGCCGGCGAGCGGATCCGCCCGCCGAGGCGGCGGCGGTGATCCCACCGGCCATGAGCCTGGCGATGCAGCGGATGAGTGGCACCCTGGACATGAGCACCTCCGTGCACGTCAGCCCGGTGGCCTCCACCTCGGGCTTCCTCGACGGCGACGCGGGGCCAGCAGCAGCGCGCCTCGCCCTGACGACGGCGGACGACCTCACCCATCCGCCGACCACCGCGCGCTCCCCGACCAGCCCGGCGCCGCCGTCGGGGCGGCCAACGACGGAGCGGAGCGTGGCGCGCCTCGAGTACTTGAAGCACTCTATGTACGACGAGCCCGCGTCTCCTTCGTGGGACGAAGACGAAGAGAACGACGTGGAGGAGGAGGAGGCCGCCATGGCTGGCTGAAGTACAGTGGCTGGTTGAAACTGAAATTCTTGGTTGGTTTGCTGGTTTGATTGGGATTGGGGAGGAGAGAGGGGATGTGTGATGTGGGATATGTAGCAGTGGAGGTGGTGGAGGAGGAAGAACATGGCGGGAGAGGGAAGGATGCTTTGCTTCTGGGAGTTTTGGAGGGAAATGTGTGTGAGGAGATGGGGGGTAAGAGGGTAAGTTGGGTTTTGTGGTTGCTTCTACTTGGGGTTTCAGCTATGCTTTCACTATTTGTGCAACACTGCAACGGATTAAATTACTACCTAGTTAAATGCATCATGCAATGAGTCACAGAAGATTTTGTCCTTCGTCTTTCTTTCTTTTGTTGGGAATGGAACAAAGGTGTTCTCTTCTTATGAGTTTGGGACTTTGGGTTGTGTCTTTTCCTTTCTTTCTTTCTTTCTTTTTTTTTTGACATTGAGACGTGTGTTGGTTTTTATTAAGGATTCATTAAAGTTTTAGATGTGTGTTTCGCCAAATTAATTTTTTGGCAGTTAAATTTTTGAATAACAATTGTTTTCGTATTGCTCAGCAAGGTTGTACTTCAAATAAACTGGAGTCCGTCTGTTTATGATGCGTTTTTTTTTTCGATTACGTGGAGAACCTGCGCGCGTGCACACAGGGTAATCTATATGACTTGTTTCTTTCTCTATCTCTACTTATATTATAAAAACTAGCGGGTGGCCCGCGCAATTGCGCGAGTAGCACCCAAACAAAATTATCTATTTTTATATGATTTTACTTAAAATTTATTAAATAACTAGCTCGTTGTCTTAATATTTTTTGAAAGACCAAATCTTATCATCCCTGTGTTTTTATAGCCACCCCTTCTTTGTCACCCCTCATTTATTTGCTTTCTCGATCTAACACTGCTTCTATTCATTCTCCTTAAAACCTTTAAAAATTGGACCTTATAGATTTTAGAGGTTATTGACTCATAGGGTTCCTTTTTATAATTTTTAGAAATCCCGTCAAACGCTACCACTATACTCTCTATGGCCCGTCCACTGCCTTCTCGCTTTATTATTATTAGGATTTTAAAAATTGAACATAATTATTGTTTGGGTTCAATTTTTTTACTTTCTAAAAGTCCAGCCAAACCATCGGCATCTTTGCCACTATACTTCTCTACAACTCACCCGCTACCTCCCCTCTTTATTATCATTGAGATTTTAAAAATCGAACACGGTTATCGTTTAGGTTCTTTCCTTTTTTTACTTTCTAAAAGTCTCGCCAAACCATCAGTGTCTTTGCCACTATACTTCTCTACAGCTCACCCGCTGTTTCCCCTCTTTATTATCATTGAGATTTAAAAATCAAACATGATTATCATCAGGGTTTATTTTTTTACATTTTAGAAGTCCCGCCAACCGTCGTGATCGTGCTGCTTAACGTTTTCTGTCGTCCCTCCTTTTAATTATCATTGAAATTCTATTTGGGATTCTTTTAATAGTTTTTAGATATCCCATCAACCGCCACCATTCTACTCATATACAGGTCTGTTGCTTTTCCTTTCTTTATTATCATTTGTCATTATTGTGTTCTATTATTTTATTATATGAACTTTCTTTGAAAATTTCATATTTTTCATTTTGATTTTTTTATTTATAAATTATATTCCTATTTAACTCTTATAACTATTTTTCTATTTTATGAATTTATTTTATTTGTTATTCTGAATTTTAATTAATCTTGTCACGTGTTCTAGATTGTCATTATTGTGTTCTATATGAAATTTTTTTTTGAAAATTTCATCTTTTTCATTTTGATATTTGTGTTCTATTATTTTATTATATGAACTTTCTTTGAAAATTTCATATTTTTCATTTTGATATTTTTATTTATAAATTATATTCCTATTTAACTCTTATAACTATTTTTCTATTTTAGGAATTTATTTTATTTGTTATTCTAAATTTTAATTAATCTTGTCAAGTGTTCTAGATTGTCATTATTGTGTTCTATATGAATTTCTTTTTGAAAATTTCATCTTTTTCATTTTGGTATTTTTTTTATCTATAAATTATATTCCTATTTAACTCTTACAACTATTTTTCTATTTTAGGAATTTATTTTATTTGTTATTCTGAATTTTAATTAATCTTGTCACGTGTTCTAGATTAGAGACCAACACAAGTTCACTTGGGAAGAATTTCCTGATTGGTCACCCATTCCGAAATTGCTCTAGGCCAAGCACGCTTAACCTCAGAGTTTTTTCGAGATCGGCTTTCGGAAAAGAAGTTGCAACCTGTTCATATGAGTATTCTATTAATCCTATTAAGCCCTAGGCCAGGATGTCACATAGATCATCTCTTCTTTCAATAGTCTTTATTTTTATTACGAATTTTAGTTATTTATAAATTGTATTTCTAGTTGAACTCTTTTTTTCATCTAATTTTAGAATTTATTTTATTTTTTATTGTGTATTGTGTTCTATATGGACTATTCTTTTAATATTTATTATTTTTAATTTTTAATTTCAGTTGTTTCAAAATTGGATTTCTACTTGAACTTTTTTATTTTTCTAATTTTATTTTTTATTCTGAAATTTAATTTATCTTATATTGGGTTATTATATGAACTCTTATCAATATTGCTTATGTTTAGTTTCGAATTTAAGTTATTTTTGTATTCCTACTTACTCTTCTTTTCTTTTTTTTTCTAATTTCGGATTCTATTTTATTTTTTATTATTCTAAATTTTAATTAATCTCGTATTGGGTTCTTATAGGAATCGTCTTTTAATATTGCTTATTTTCAATTCTAAATTTTAGTTTCTTTTAAATTGTATTCCTACTTAAACTCTTCTTTCTTTTTTTATACTTTCGGATTTTATTTTATTTTTTATTTCCAATTTTAATTAATTTCTTATTGGTTTATTATATGAACTCTTCTTGCTATATTGCTTATTTTTAATTCAAAAAAAATTACGTAACTCCTAAAATTTCTACTATTAGACACCATATATAAATGCTATGTTCACTAACAAAAAAAATTCCTAGCACGATCATACAGTAGTAACCTTGAAAGATTGAATGGCAATGACATACAGTAACCTGTGTATGTAGCTGTATGAGCATTTGCTTATGAACTCGGGTTTGTGTTTGCTCTTGGTTGGTTTCAGGATAGCACGATCCATTAAGTAAGTTCATATTCCTTTCACACGTGAAACGTACTGATCTGAGATCCGAGACACCACTTGGGAGTACGCCTAATGGGCGATCGATCGCGTGGGGATGGGGTAGCGATCAGATTCGCTCCCCTCCCTCCCCTCCCTTCCTCCACCTGGTTTTTTTTTTCACCGTATTACTTTCCTATTTTAGCAAATTTATACACCTAAACTTTATACACCTTAAGTTTACACATCTAAAGTTTAGAGACTAAAAGTTTATAAGTCAAAAGTTTATATATCCGATTTAAATTTGAATTTGAATTCAAATATTTTTTTATATATAGTATTTCTATACATCTAAAGTTTATACACCTAAAGTTTATAGACCTAAAGTTTATAAGTCAAAAGTTTATATATCCGATTTAAATTGAATTTGAATTCAAATATTTTTCATATATAGTATTTCTATACATCTAAAGTTTATACACCTAAAGTTTATAGACCTAAAGTTTATATACCCGATTCAAATTTGAATTTGAATTCAAATATTTTCTATATATAGTATTTCAATACATCTAAAGTTTATACACCTAAAGTTTATAGACCCAAAGTTTATAAGTTAAAAGTTTACATACCCGATTCAAATTTGAATTTGAATTTGAATTCAAATTTTTTATATATAGTATTTCTTTACATAAATTTTTCGAACTTTTTGTTTTTTTAAAAAAAAATTGTGGAGATGTGTAAACTTGAGGTGTACAAACTTTAGGTGCATAAATTTACTAAAATAGGAAAGTAATACGGTGCCAAAAAAGAAAATCAGAAATCTGATCGCCCCTAGCGATCCCTAGCGATCGATCGCTAGGTAGCATTCTCGGTTGAATTATGTGCTTGTATGACTAGTATTTGCTTCTGTGGACTCCTGATAGGATTTATGTAATTTGTTTTTCTCTACGTATACATCTCATTAATCTCAACCTTTAAAATCTAGACCTACCAAGATCTAAGGTTAATATTTTCTTTTTCTCCGATTAATGTGGGATTTTCTAGTCTCCACAGCGAATGTGTTGCTTTCTTTTAAAGCTGTCTTACTAATATAATGGATTAAAGATGTTTCCGCCGAAATTTTGGTACGTCATCCGTTTTTGAATTGGTTTTAATTTTATGTCAAATCATTTCCTTTTTTCTTATCCGAGACACGCACGAATTAATTGGGCCCGCATCTTTTTCACACGCCCCTTGTGGTATGTAGCAATCGGGCCCACACATGAGTCTGTTTTTCACACATGCCTTTGCGCGCCACCGTGATTGGGCCCGCAACGCCCTCGCGCGTGCGATTTTTTGCATGCCCGACTAGGCCCACGACGCTCTCGCGCGCGATTTGCCCTTGTCACAAGTCCGATTGGGACTGCGTCGCCCTCGCCCACCATTTAAAAATTGAAAATGTTTTTGTCAAAACTATGGTACCTCGTTGACCAGATCATCCGATTCTATTTGTATTACATGACACGATTCCTAACACATGTTAGCATGATATCAAGTTAGTCTCCACTCTCCACACATGCTCGTAGGTACCACCAGGGATACCATTATAATAATCCACAAGAATCAGTTTTACTTTGAAAAGAACATGCCAACCGAAATAAAGAATGATCGAAGTTATTGATTCCGTCTATCATCAATTCCTGCACATAAAGCTAGATGACAAATCGAGGTCGTGTTTAAAAGCCTCATTGTTTAGCTTATGCTTATTCCTATAAGCCAAATTTAAAATTTTAAAATTTAATTTTGAATTTGACTTTTTTGGTTTTTTTATTGTACTTTAGTTTGTAGCATTTGCTTTTAAGTCACGAAGAACATGTATATAAAATATTTGCACATAAATAGTCTTTTATTTGGTAATAAGTGATTTGGATAAGCACATGAATAAACGAAACAATTAGG